TAATTTTTCTTTTTTCTAAATCGAAATTCTATACCCATTCAACACTAACTCTCCCTTTTAGGTCATGGAAACTTTCATTCTCCTCTCTGCCTTGTGAATTTATGACTAGATAATGTACAAGTGGAATCTATTTGCACTTGGTCTAACATCCATGCTTAAATATGCATTGGATTTCCTCCTTTTAAAAGCTTAGTGATACTCCACTGTGAGTTAGGTTCTTTACATGATCATTTTTCAATGGACACTTTTGGTTGCTCCTAATTCTGCCTGTTGCAAATGATGTCACTGTAAATGTGGATGTGTGAAGACATGAGATTTGCTTTCCTGTGTGTGTGTGTGTGTGTGTGTGTGTGTGTGTGTGTGTGTATGTGCATGTGGGTACTCTTGTGCATTGTATGCTTGTGTACATGGGTGTGTAGGTCTGAGAAAAACCTCAGGTATCATTTCTCAAGTGCTTTTCTACTATTTGTTTGAGATACAATCTCTTATTGGCCTGGAACTCACCAAGTAGGCGAGCTCCAGGGATCTGTCTGTCTCTGCCTATCTCGAGACTACTGGGATTTGAAGCATCTACCACCATGCCAGCTTTTTACATGGATTTTGGGGCCATGCTTGTGAGGCAACTTAGCTATCTCCCTTACCTTCCAGTGGCTTCTTAAAGCCACATGTAGCTTGTGTGTCCCTTTCTTGAGTTCCTGGCTTAAGAGATGGTTGAGCTAGGAGACAAGGCTTTGGTTCTACTCATACTGCCACAAACCTCAAAGTCCCTGGGGCAAGTCACACAGCATCTCCGAGTCACAGTCCTACCTGTTAGCCAGGGAGGTCCTTCTACTGCTTGGGTGCTACTGCTTGGGTATTGTCCCTGAGTGCAATGCATGAGCCATTATATTCTAACCTGGAACACTGGCCTTTACTTCCTCATAGGTAAAATTAGGAGTGAGCAGTTTTGTGTACAGAGACCTGTCACATTGAGCAGATACAAATTTGACCCTCAGACATGAAGAGGTCAGCCTTTAGGAGCCATTTCCTGGGCGGGCGGGCTGGACTACCCGGCTGCTAGCATGCACCTTACTGAGAGGTTGCCCCACTGGGACTAGTGATGGAAGGAAAGAAAGTGTGAAATCCGGAAGTATGATAGTTCTTATGGAGTAGATGGGAAAGCAGCTGCTTAGCCCCACAGCAGCCCAGCCAGGCAAGCACATTGCTGCAATCTAACAGAAACAAGCCACACTGATTTATAACATGTCAACACATGTCACAACCATCAGCAGCCTTCTTATTAAAAGAGAAAACATCGGGGGAGCTGGAAAATGTGGCTTAAGAGGAAGGTGGGAGGTTGCACAAACATTTCTAGGAAGGAGCAGAGGCAGAGGCACCAACATGGCTGTTAGACCAAACTGATTTTCAAGTAAGGACTCGTTTGAAAATTTTAAGCCATGTTTTTCTTGGCAAAAGGCACCATTCACAGGCACAGCCGAGCCAGCTGCCTGAATCCTGGCAGATGGGATTCCTGCTCAGCTCCAGAACTGTGTGCAGGTGCAGAGGCACAGGCCTGGTGGAGAATAGTCCCTGAGAAATGACACCTCCCTTTTTTTTTTTTAAGTCATGACTAAGTCACGTGAAGAACTGTCAGAAAACAGGCAGAGAAGATGGGCAAAGGAAGCCTTTATGAACCGATAAAGATGGGTGAAGGAGGACCAGAAAGATGGCTCAGGGGACAAAGTCACTGCTGCCACACATGGCCACCTGAGTTCGGATCCCAGAACCCACATGGTGAAAGGAGAAAACCATCTCCTTTACATGTACACACACACGCTCTCACATACACACACACACACACACACGCACGCACGCATGTACACATTATTGATAAATAAATGTACATTTTTTGAAGAAAGGAGGATGCGATGCATGCAATGGTGAAGAAAGAGAGAAAGATGTGAGCAGGGTCCCCACAGTCACAGTGGGGCGCTGCAGTGCACCAAGCTGACAGTACAGCCTACGGCCATTGTAGATCGCAAACTTTCCTCCGGTTACTTCCAGGAAACACATCCCTGTTGGCGCTGTGCCAGGAAACAATAAATGTTTTGAAAGAAAAAAGGGACTATCAGGATAGTTAATTTTGTTCAGTATTGTGGAATGAAAACAAATAAAGAGAAAATGGCGATAAGAGTGCAAATAAAAAGGAATGGGGTGAAAGCAGACATACAGTATAAGATAATTTTTTTCCCCAAACAGATAAATGGGAAAACCTTGATGAAATATTTTGGGTGTAACACAATTAATTATAACCCAGAGACAGATTTTGAGGTTGAAGCTTCAAACTGAAGGTCAGAGAAGCAAAACTGTGGCTCTTATCTCTACCCAGATGAAATGGCTATCTTGTCTCTACCAAGACTGAAAGGGTGATCTGGATAGCTCCACGAATCCTATACTGCCGCCTCTTCCTTTTATACCTCTCAAATCCTGGGATTAAAGGCATGTGTTCTCAGGTGCTGGGAGTACCTTTGTGTGAGCTGTTTCTCTTTAGGACTGGATCAATTTCATGTAGCTCAGTGTGGCCTTGAACTAACAGAGACACATCTGCTTGTCTGAGTCTTGGGATTAAAAGTGTGTATCACCATTGCCTGACTTCTATGGCTTGGGGCTAGCTTTGCTTTCTGAACCCTCAGGCAAGCTTTAATAAATCACAAATAATATGTCACCACATTTGGGGAAAAGTGCAAATGAAATACTTCTGATAGAAAAGTAAGACATGATGGGACAGTGGTCCTTAAAAGCCGTTGCATTCAGAAGCTCCAGGTTTGTCCCCTATTGGAAGATGAGACAATAAACACATTTGTATAGGAAGCATGGCTCATTTCCAAACTTAGACGTTTGCCCTAAAAGACAGCTCTGTTTCGAATTTTGACCACACATATCATGTCAGATGTTAAGTTGACAAAAAGCTTGAGGATGGTGGGACACGCCTTCAGTCTTAGTCCTCAGGAGGCTGGACTGGGAGGATCTCAAGATCAAAGCCAGCCTAAGCTACAGGGACTATTTCACAGACTAAAGAGGAAGGAGGAGGGAGAGGAGGAAGGAGAGAGCCATCATCCTTTTCCTCTTTCTCTAGCTTGGTGTTGATGTCGTTGCAAACAATATAGAGGTCTTTTGTATAGGCAAAGTTTTTGCTGCAAATTAATAAAGTAAGGTGGATAGAAAGTTTTCAAAGGAGACAAAGATAACCACAAAGAGTCACTGTTGTTTTGTCTTGTTTTGAACTTTTTTACTCTTTGGGGGGGGGTCTGCTACCCTGCTCTCAATAAATAACTTATTCTTAGTTATGAATGCATTGCCTTAGCTTGTCTCTAGCTAGCTCTTCTTAAATTATCCCATCTATCTTTTGCCTCTGGGATTTTATCTTTCTCTATTTCTGTGTGCCTTTATTTCTTACTCCGTTTCTGGTTGGGTGGCTGGGTGGCTGGCCCTTTCGTCCTCCTCTCCTCCTTTTCTCATTCTTTGATTGCTTCTCTTCCTAGATTCCTCCTCCTACTTATTCTCTTCTGCCTGCCAGCCCTGCCTATCCTTTCCTCTCCCTTGCTATTGGCTGTTCAGCTTTTTATTAGACCAGTCATGTGCTTTAGACTGGCAAGGTAATACAATTTCACAGAGTTGAACAAATGCAGAATAAAAGAATGCAACACATCTTTACATCATTAAACAAATGTAATAACCTACAATAATTCACAATCTTAGTTTCTAAAGGTTCTGGGTCAGATGAACAGACTTGTCTCTGAGATGATGAATAAAAAGTGATTCACACATGAGGACCAGATTCCCAGAGCCCAAAGGAAGCCAGACACGGCAGTAGGCATATATAACCCTAGCTCTTCTATAGCAAAATAGGAGGCAGGAGAATTCCCAGAAGCTGGTGGGGCAGACTATCCTGGCATATGCAAGAAATCCTGCCTCAGACAAGGGAGAAGGTATGGGCCAACACATGGAGTTGTCCTCTGACCTCTATATGCATCTATAGCACATGAGTGACCATATCCACACACACACACACACACACACACATGTGGCGAAGGGGAAAGAGGGAGAAAATGAAGGAAGGAGGGGGGCAGGAAAGAGGAGAGGAGAGAAGGAAAGATAGTGCCTGAGGAGGGGCTTACTAAACCCATTGCTGGGACACCTGGAAAGGCCTCTGGGACAGTGCAGGGCAACCCCTTGACAGGGGTTGGGGTGGAATAGCAGAGGTTTCTGAGAACATCCAGCTTGAATGGCTCTCAGCAAGAAATCATGTCCTTGGAGTTACCTTCCTCAGAGAAGCGTCTCTGGCCTACAGAATGCAGAATTCTAGACACAACCTTGTCTTAACATGGACATTCTAAGTGTGGATAGAGTTGGGTCATTGGTTCACACTCATTTCATGACTCAGTGTGTTCTGAGGCACACTTTGGAGTCTGAACCCCAGGGGTGCCATTCCCAAGTCCTCTGGAATTTCTTAAAAGGCATAAGACTAACCTCTTCCCTCTGCCTCCATCTTTGTGATTCAAGTAATTTAGTGATTCAGCTGCTATCTTCCCCCATTAAGCCCTTGGTTTCTTAGAATGTGTGTCACAATCTAGAAAGACTAGAGTATTAGAACGGGTATGGACAGATAAGTATTCCCCCTGGGGATCTAAGCCAATCAATGTCTGTGGTCAACATGACACTTGAGCTAGAATATGTGCAATGAGACAAGAGGAATACTGTTGATAGTCTCTCTGTGACTTTGGCACTACACCTCTCTTCTGAGCAGTTTAGAAACTAAATTCTTCCTCGGGAACTCCAAAAGACTATAGGACGTAGCATTTTCCATGCCATGATTTTATTCAGAGGCTATACTAAATGCAGAGGACGCATGTATGGGCAGGGGTGTCTAATGTCAGAGACAGTTCTTTTTAAAGTTTGGGAGAAATGGCATGAGAGTCTCTGAGACTCCTGCTGCCCTGATGGCATTTTTTTGTCTCCAGGTCATCACAGCTGGCTTGTCACTATTGCTGTTTGATGTGATCCTGACCAGTGCAACTGTGGGATGGTAAGTTCTCTGCAGAGAGAGAAGATGCAAATTCATCACAATACTGATTTCTGCTCAAATAAAGCAGGAATGTGTGTGGGTAGATATCTCCATCCTAAGAAGTGTTTCATGTTACTGAAGCCTTCACTGTTTTATTTAGTCATTGATTGATTGATTGCAGTACTAAAGCTAACACAGAGCCTCCTGTGCTAGGCAAGCACTCTCCTCTAACCTACACCTCACACTATAGCCTAGGTAGACCTTGAATTTGCATTAATCCTCCTGCCTCAGTCTCTCAAATGCTGGGGTGGTAGGTATGAGGAAGCAAGCCCTGCTTCTTTAGCTTTCAACTGTTAAGAGTGTGTGAATTTACATTCAGAAGAGTGTACTCTTACTTTTATACAACTTACATGATATACAATATTGTACATTTATACAGTATGTTGTTATATATTATATGACCTGATACAATTTCAACAACTGAAGATTCCATGCCTAACTAATTTCAGTTCACCGTGTCACCAGAGTGCCTTTTAGCCACTCATCTGTCTCAGAGTGGGTGACCATTGATCCCTTGTTGTCGAAGGGGAGAATGATTGGCTGCCATGTGCACACATAATACATACAAAACCTAACCATCCACAGAGAGGCTACTATATATCTGACATTTTTCATTAGTATCATCTAACTTTCACAATCCTCTGAGCTATGTACATTTTAAACATGAAGTAGCTGGGGTTATAAGGCATTTAAGTGATGTTAATCCCTCCGGGATTTTATAGCTATGGGAGATTTTACATAGTTCAAACCCAGGCTTCCCTGTGTCCAAAGCTTTATAACTTAGAACTGACTTGGGCACCATCACAGTGTAGAGGGTCAAAGCCTGCGAGGGACACACAAGAAACACACAGTGATGTGTTCTCCTTGCACTGCTGTAATGAGCACTGGAGAAGGCCCACTTAGAGAAGAAAAGTTAGCTTTGGCTCTGTTTCAGACCTTTCCATTGCCTTTGGGCCTGAGTGAGGCCAATGCCATGATGGAAAGCATATGCTGGAGTGAGAAGTCTACCTTATGTTACAGCCTGTAAGTGAGGAATGAGAAGGGGCCGGGTCCCATCTCCAACAACCCAATTTCTCCCATTAGCCCCACCTCTTAAAGGCCCTTACCCTTCCCAATAGTGCCACAGGCCGGTGACAAAGTTTTTAACACAATGGGCCACTTACTCAGATAATAGCAATGGTCAGCTGTAAAGAGCATGGTGACAGTTGGACAGGAGAGAGCGTTTCCTGGGTAAGACAGTACTAACTCCTTTAGGGACGGACGTGGCATACTCAAAATGTCAGCAGAATGTGTTTAAGAGGAAGACTTCATCATTTTAGATTTTCAAATATGTTTTATTTATTCTTTCACAGTTACATCCATATGTACAATGGATCTTGATCATATCTACCCTCAACTCGCTCCCCCCATTCCCTTTGGCGTTCTCCTCCCTGCTTCATGCTGTCTCGCATTTGCCCTGTTTCGTGGCTTACTGAGTTCAGTTGGCACCACCTGCTGCAGTGCTGACTAATCTCGTCGTGGTTGAGCTGGTCTTATTCAGGTATCTGTACCTGCAGTCAGTTCATGGAACACCCAGAAGACAGTGTCCCACAGCTCTCCTCTCTGTCCGTGTGTCTGCATGTCCTTTCCACCCTTCTCCATTATGTCCCCTGAGCTGTGGAGGTAATGTTAGATTTTTTATTACATTTTTTGTTCATTAAATTTTTTATTTTATATGCCAACTGCATTTTCTCCTCCCTCCTGCCTTCTTCCCACCCACCTCTCCCCCACTCTCCCCTACTCCTCTGTCTCAATTCAGAAAGGGACAGGCCTCCCATGGGAGTCAACAAAGCATGCCATGTCAAGTTGAGGCAGGACCAAGTTCTTCCCTTGCATCAAGGCTGGGTGAGGCAACCCCAAATGGGGGTCACCTAGTTGTCTCTTGGGTTTCCCCATAATGATCTTGACCCCCTTCCCCCAGCTCATACAGTCCCTCCTCCCTCTCTTCAACAAGACTCCCAGATCTCAGTACAGTGCTTGGCTGTGGATCTCTGCATCTGTTTCCATCAGTTACTGGATAAAGGCTCTCTGATGAAAATTAGGGTAGCCACCAATCTGATTACAGTAGATGGCCAGTTCAGACACCGTCTCTACTATTGCTAGGAGTCTTAGCTTGGGGTCATCTTTGTGGATTCCTGGAAGTTTCCCTGGCACTAGATTTCTCCCTAACCCTGAACCCCCCCCCAATCAAGACATCTCTTTTATTACTCTCCCCCTCTGTCCCAGCCCCAGGAATGTTAGATTTTTAATACTATAGCTATGATTCTGTTGGTTAAATTACTATACTGAGCATTGCTAAGCATAGTGGCACATGCCTTTAATCCGAACACTTGGGAGGCAGAGCAAGGTGGGTCTTTGTGAGTTTGAGGCCAGCCTGGTCTATAGAGTGAGTTCCAGGATAGCTGGGATTACATAGTAAGAGTCTGTCTTGCAAAAAACCACATAAATATATTCTACTGAGTGTTGTATGTAACACATGGGGAAAACATTAAATAAGTGTGAGTTATTATCTAATTCTCAATGAATATTCAAGGGAAAACAAAACCAGAAGGATGTTTTATGCAGTGCATAGGGTGGTATTTACTGAATTTGCAGTAGACATGAAGACTAAAGTGAGAGGATGGATGGATATGCTTTGAAGGCAAGCTTTGAACTGGCTTGACACTGGACCTGATGCTGATGGGAAGTTGGCTATGCGATGGGATAGGAGAGGATTTGGCCTCTCCCACCCACAGTACACAGGACTAGAGGTTCTGGTTGCAAGATATAGGATTAAAAATGGGATCTAGGCCACACAGCTAACCCCACGCTTACTCTTTCTGTCCTGCAACAGAGTGACACTAACAATGGGGAGGAAGACACATGCTTCAAAACTGTCAGAAGAGGAGCACAGGCCTTTGTATATGTGTGTTATATAAGTATGTGTTATCTGTGTGTGTGTGTGTGTGTGTGTGTGTGTGTGTGTGTGTGTGTGTGTGTGTGTGTGTCCACATGCATGTGTATACTCCAGCATTCATCTGGTGGTCTGAGGACAATTTCCAGAGTTGGTTCTCCTTTCTACAGTGAGTCCCATGGTTTGAACTCAGGTCTTTAGGCTTAGGAGCAAGCACTTTTGGCCATTGAGCCATCCCACTAGCACCAAATTTGTGTCCTGTCCTGAGGCATTTAAGTGACTTTCCCCAGAGTTTTATAGACATGAGGAGATCATACTGTAATTCAAACCCAGGCCTCAGTGTGTCCAAAGCCCCCCAAACTTACAGAACTAACATGGGCACTGGCAAAGCCTTGTCAGCGCTACAGGTTAGTGTGTAAGGTTAAAGCCACAAAGAAGACACAGGACACTGTATCTTTCCATCTACGGTGCTAGCCTGAGTTCTTGACAGTATTTTTATTTCTTATACACACACCTTCATATTTTGTATGGAATTTCAAAATGAACCAAAGAAACCCAGGTATTGAATTGAGGGAGAGAAATCAGAGCAAGACAGCTCTCTGGCAGGAGGAAATGCTAAGGCAGACTACTAACGAGGTGATTGTCTGGAAGGGACTCTGTCTCCAGGCTGTGTCACATCTGTGGAACTGAGGTTATGCCCTGAACAAAATGGAAAGAGAGACCATTTGGACCCAAACCAAGGAAGCAGCATACATGTCTGTTACAAAAGGACCCTTGGCTTTGAGAATTCCTGGGCTTTTAGAACTCTTGCAGTTAGGGATGGTTTTTCAGCCTCAAAGAATTCTCCAACCACAAAGTGAACAGCCAGGAGTATGTCAAGATGTAACCCCAACTTCTAACTCTTACCCAGGTGGTTAGCCCATGGCCAAGTGCCATACCAGCTCGTGAGTTCCAGATGGAAGTGGCTGGCCTTTGTACCCTGGTGATTTAAACTAATCAGAAGTCCCAAAGGGTAGGGTTTGCAGGTCTTGGATTTTTTTCTAATGTTTTAGAACTACTGTATTTTCCTGTACAGTTATTGTTTCTTATGTTTTGATTAATTTCATATTTTAAATTAGTCAGTAGCATCTAGAAATTAGGTGATTTCTTCTTACAAAGGTAGATTTCCATATTCCTTTGAAAACAGAAACTGCTGTGAGTTTTTGTTGGGCCTATGCTCACTCATGGCAGCAGCTGTCAGAGTGGACAGACACTGACCTGGAAAGTGTTCTCTGATGAGCATGGTCACAGCCATGCCTGAACTGGGAGGCAGTTCTCTTGGGAGGGCAGTATCTTGGCTGGTTATATTAGGCCATCTAAAGTAGGGTTTCTGGGTTGGCAAGCTCAGTGGATAAAGTCTGAGCTTTATCCAACTGCCACAAATTGTCCCTGATACTCACATGTGCCCCATAGTATTCATGTGCTCATATGCCACACATACAAAAAATAGATACATAAATATAAAAATAAAGTCAGGCTTGTCACTCTTGGCACTTTTGGTATTTGGGGCCAGATTCCTTGTTGTAGAGTACCATCCTGTGCCTTGTTGGATGCCAAGTAGCAAACCTGACTGGATGCTAGTAGTACCTTCTTATTTGTAATAGAAAATGCCTTTAAGGCACTGGAGAGTGTTTTTCTGGAGTCAGAATCACCAGTCTTAAGATTCCTGCAAATGAACAGGAAAAAATGCTATCTGACTTTTCAACAAGATCCTAAGGAATTTGCTCATCTCTTGATTAGGGATCTGAAGTGGCTTGAATCCTTGGCAGCATCACCTAGGCACCCTGGGTATGGCTTTGAAAGTGGCTCTGCATGGCAGTCAGTTGTGTAGGCTTTCCCCTAGCACCTGCCCCCAGATGTGAGCAGTGCTCATTGGAATGATTCAAGTGTTAAGCTGTGGAGAATGACCATCATGCATCTGCTTCATTCTGAGGAGTCCATGACAACTCTCTGCCCATCATTCACCTGGCCTGCCATCCATCCATCACAGGCTGCCAACCATGACAGTCACCCAGACCTTATCCCAGTACAGACCTCATGAACACCAAGGATCTTTAGAAAATGATTGTAAAGAGCTGGATATGCCGTTATGTACAAAATTCCAACACTTATACACACACCTTCATATTTTGTATGGAATTTCAAAATGAACAAAAGAAACCCAGGTATTGAATTGAGGGAGAGAAATCAGAGCAAGACAGCTCTCTGGCAGGAGGAAATGCTAAGGCAGACTACTAATGAGGTAGTAGTCTGAGGCAAGAGTCATCTTAAGTTGAGACCAGCCTGGGATTGAGACCCAGAATAAAGAAAAAGACTTTCAGCCAGACAGTAGTGGTGCACACCTTTAATTGCAGCACTCCAGAGGCAGCAGCAGGCAGGCCTCTGTGAGTTCTAGGCCAACCTGGTCTACAAAGTGAGTTCCAGGACAACTGAGGATATACAAAGAAACCCTGTTTAAAAAGAAAGAAAAAAAGATATCCTCTCCCTCTGACTTTAGGACCCCTTCCTGGAGAGTACTCAAGTCTTGGTAAATAGAAAATAATGTCCTAGTATCCTTTAAATCCCTTTAGGACTATAGCAAATAAAACATACCAGTTTCCTGTTTGAATTGAATGTTGGCGTCTCATTTTAAAAGGTATTATCTAGGCCTAGAGATGTAGCTCAGTTGGTAGAGTGCCTGCCTAAGCTTTTGCAAAACCATGGGTTCCATCCCTAGTACCACATTCAACTGGGTGTAGGGTATCTTGCCTACATAGTGAGTTTAAATTCGGGCTCCATCAGATGCTATAAAAAAAAAAAACAACAAAAACAAAAAGATAAAGTTGTTTATTATCTTTCATGTGTTTCATACTTTATCAGATTGTGAACTTCATTCTACAAGGTAGTGAGATGTTAGCAACATACATTTTAGTAGGGTAGAAGGGAGTAAAAACCAAGTGATTGAAATATAGAGGGGAGATGGGGAACATATTTAACAATTTGGTCATTCATTTTGTGTGTGTGTGTGTGTATGTGTATGCTGGGTCTTCATCAGAGGAAAAATATCATCTGTCTGTTGAGTTGGGTAGGAATTAGCCAGGCAGCCACAGTAATAGATTTAAGGTGAGACAGGAACTTTGATACCAGCAGGAGAAGGGCTGGAGAGCCCTGAAATACTGCTCTGTAGAGACACTTGGAATGGGTGTTTATGGCATGTGTGCTCTGCAGCCTCAGGTTTATGCCTCCACCCAGGGAAGTGTGTTCATTTCAGGAATATTGAGGATTACAAGGTTTGCAAACAGTTCACGCAAGCTTTGACTTAAATAGTTCTAATGCTGTTAAGACTACAGGATCCTCTGTGAACTGCTCCTGCTGGTTAGAAAACAACATCAAATCCACCTCTTGGCTCTCTTCACAGTAAATGAAGATGGAGAGACCTTTGGATGTATTAAATTATAGGCATGCTGAATATTCACTCTTTTCCTGGCTGCAGTTCTCATGTCTTAGTTTTCAAGTCGCCTGCTACATTTCTGTGCTGGTGGGAAGTTCACGATTCTCATTTATATGCTCACCTGTAACTGTTCTGTTAGTCTAAGAAGCCATGCCCCTCCTAATACAAGGTTGTGAATGTCTGTATAACTTCATATCCCACAATCCACTTTAGCCAGAAGCACCTAAGGGGTCATGGGAAATTCTTCTGCCTTGCTTCCTCCTCTCATGTTTTCCTTCAGAGTTAACTGTTCAGGATAAGTGGGATATGTACCCTTCCCTGAGGCAGCCTCCCAGACCCCTTAACCTACCCCCTACCCCGACATTTTCCCCTTTCGTGGCATGGTGGTTCCTGAGCTGTATCTGACCTTGCCTGGGCTGGTGGATGTGGGCTACATCACCTTTCCTTGCTGTCTGTAGGTGCCAAGCAGGCTGAAGGGGTGAAGAAAGCTAACCATCTGCTACCGTTTGCAGCTTCCTGCTTGGTGGACTTGGTGAGGCCCTGCTGGTTTTCTCAGAGCGGAGGAGTTCCTGATGAAGATGGTCAAGGAAAGGAAACATGCAACTTGCTGACTGAGAACACAGCACCCTGGCCTCCCTCTTGAGAGACATAGAAAGAACATACTACAGTGAGACCAAGCTGAACTCAGACAGCCCATTTTCATTGCTTAGGGCAGGGTTTCCTAGGAGCCTCTGCACAGCTGCAGAGAAATGGTCTGTCTGTCCATCTTACATCTTCCCTTGCTGGACTGTTGCCACTCTGTCTACTGCACCAGTTCTGCCAGTCAGGAAGCAGAGGCTTTTAATGGGATGGCACCATTATCTGGATGACTGCAGCCTCAGGACACTACACTTCCCACCAGATACTGTTTTGTGGTGAGGTCGCAGTCCCATGGAGTCTTTTTGCAAATTTTGGTCGTGTTTTGTATCTTTATATCTTGGAGTCTCTTCTACCCCTTGATTTTTCTGGTTTCCCTGAGCCCATGCCCACCCACAGAAAACAAGACAGGTGCTCTTGAGAGCTGTGTGGGGCAGGGCAGGTGTGGGGACCAATGAGACGCCAGCAAAGATCTATAAAGTGTTGTGAGTTGTAGTTGATGTTGGTTTATTTCCAGCTTCTCAGTTTCTCTTGGTTCTTGTGAATTTGTCAGGATGTATTGAATTCTGTTGACTCTTGACCACCATTAGGTTAAGCTGGTGAAGCCTTTTAAGTACTATAGCCCAGGTGGGTCTTAGGCGCTTCCCTCATCGTCTGCTCTAGCCCTGATAGGTCTTAAGCACCTCACCTTCTGCTGTGCCTCCCGAGTGCAGAAACTGCAGGCATGCACTGCTATGCCTAGCTTTTGTTCCTTAAATTCTTTTTTTTTTTAATTTATTTTATATAACAAAGTCCATTTAAATGAAAACAAACATTTATAGACAATATTTGGGAATTTGGGTGTTGTTCTTTCCAAACTACTTCCTGCTGGTAAGGGGTGCTGTCATGGGGGATTTGAAGAAGATTCAGAAATCCTGGCTGTAGTCTGTAAGGCTGCTTTGTCCAGCTGTTTTGAATGTAGGATCACCTCGTACTCAGTTTCAGGCAGTCTGGCTTGATCAAACCACATTAGACTGGAAGGAATCCACAGCTTTTCATTTTCTGTGGAAACAAAAATAGAAATCCTTTTCCCCAGTAACTTGTCCTTGAACTTAAATTTTGGAGTCAAAGCATTTTTTTAAATTTAATTTATTATTTTACATGTCAATCCCAGTTCCCTCTCCCTCCCTCCCTCCCTCTTTCCCTCCCTTTTACCCTCTCTGCCCTCTCACATGCACTCTAACCACCCTCCCTTCCCATCCCCCCACCCCAATACCATATGTTGTTCCTGAAATTCTTTAATGTATGTAATTCCTTCATATCAGGGGTGAGATCTGGAGGCATTGAATGGTGAATTTTATCTCTCACACTAGATTAAATAAAGTACACCTTACCACTAGAGAAGAAACTACGTACACAAGATAGTCACTTAAGAAAATAATGCTTCAATCTAGATATTTCTTCTCACTGATTTTACAGATACTTGATTATGTCAAGTGTCATTCTGAGGTCATTTTGCCAGCCCTTAAGTGCAGGAGACCGTGTCATTGGTAGAAACTCACTGGGTTCTGGGAACAACTCCTTGTCCCAGGCTCAGTTCAGGAAGAGTGAAGTCAGTTTGATTATTGCTGAATGTTTTCCCCCCAACTTGTTGGAAAACAAAGAAAATGAAATAATAGGATGGATTTACATATTCAGAGTGTGAAACTCTTTAGTTCATCTTGTTCTGGTTTTCATTTCAGGTAAAAGTGTTCCAAGATTTCATGCGTATATAATCTGTAATTCACTTCCTTAGAGTATGTGTAAGATGTATTTATTCTGTTATCGTATGAGTACTGTGTATGCCTGGTACTTGTGAAGGTTTAAAGAGGGCATCAGACCTCCACAAAAACTGGAGGTACAGACAGTGGTGAGCGGCCATGTGGGTGCTGGGAATTGAACCGTGTGCTCTGCAAGAGTAACAAGTGCTCTTTATTCTTTTCTTTCTTATTTTCTGGGGTGGGAGGATGGTGTGGAGTCAGGGTTTCTCCGGGTAGCCCTGACTGTCCTGGAACTCACTCTGTAGACCAGGCTGGCCTCAAACTCACCATTCCTGCAACTTACTTTTAAAAATCATTTTTATTTTAAATTATGTGTACTTTCTAAGTATGTGCACAATGAGTACAGGTGTCCCAAGGAAGCCAGAAGAGAATTCTGGATCCCCTGGAGATGGAATTACAAGAAGTTGTGAGCTGCCAGCAGTGGGTGCTGGAGACAGACTCTGGACCACTGCAGGAGCATTTATTATGTGCTCTTTCCACATGTGCTCTCCAGTCTATAACCCACTTTGGTTCTTCATCATGTGTAGCAGCTAGGAAGTATGTAGTTATATTTAGAATTTTCATTGTTTTAATTCACACAACACCTATCCCATGTAATCCTGTGCCTGTCCTTCTAAGTGTCATTTAAGCAGATAGAGAGTCCTCAGCTCCAACCACACAGCACTCAACCCCAGCCACATCTCTAGCTGGATGGATGAAAACCCTTGCCGACACCACATTCTGGAGTTCCACTGTCTAATTCTTGAGTGCTTGCAAACTATGATGATAGGGAGAGACAGGGCCAGTTGCTCCTTCAGTACACAGACTGCTGCCCCCAGCTTCCATGTGTGTTCTGGGCTTCATTCTTTAAGGTGTAGCCACCACCTTTTATACCTCCATCCTCATGCTCAGCTGTGAATGTTCAGGGGACCTAGGGATGGGGGGAGTCTCCCCCACCACTGCAGCACCGTTTGTTTGTTTGTTTGTTTGTTTGTTTGTTTTTGAGGCAGGGTCTCTGTTAGGTAGCCTGACTAGAAGTGCAGACCAGGCTTGCCTTGAACTCCCTAGTGCTGGAAATAATGGGACACACTACTACACCTGACTCCAACTCCATTTCAAAACCAGGGTGGATTTTTTTTTAATTGCATGAATAATATGCCTTCTTTTGAGAGAAGCAAGGTTCTCTGTGATTGTGTATTAAACTATACTGCTATGGCTATAAAGAAAAATAAAGCATTTATTTTCTTGGTAATTTGCCTGTTTTTCCTTTTTTCAACCCAACAGTGGAGAACTCTGGACATGGTCGATGCTCTCCCTGGGAATTTTTAGGGTTGATTTTGCTTTTGTACCTTGTTTTTAGACAGGTTCTTCTATTGCAGCCCAGGCTGGCCCTAAAGGCAAGCCTATCTTCTTCTGTCAGACTCCTAAATGCAAATGCCTTGAGCTCCGGTATAGGCCCCTTCCACTACTTACAGGGCCTCTTGGCTAACTCCAGTGAGGCCCATCCCTTCTAGACCTGGGCTGTTCTATAGCAATGGAAGAGTCAGTCACTGTTGGCCAGATTCTTATTTGCTCCAAATAAGGGTACATACTGATTTAGTCTTTTCAAAAATGACTTCACGTAAACACATTTAATATAAAAGTATAAAATAAGTCTGGGCATGGTAGTACAAGCATTTAGGAAGCAGAAGCAGGTAGATCTCTGTGAGTTCAAGGTCAGCATGGTCCACATAGCTCCTTGCCAACCAGGACTACACAGTAAGACCCTGTGTTCAGGAAAGAAAAAAAAAAAAAAGATAACAAAGGTAACTCAAAATTTTTAGTGAATATAAAATCATTAATAAATATATAAAATTAGTGAGTCTGAAACACATACTCTCAGTGTAAATATATTTTTACCTTTTTAAATGAAGCCACTAGAAAACTCAGTTTGCAGACATGGGGTACATTTTATCTTAGTCAGCTGAGTTCAGAGCTGTGGTTGGCTGCAGTTTCTGGGGTGACCACCCTGCCAGTCCTGCCAAAGGCAACTGGCTGTTGATGCTTATTGTATCCCACAGGCTGCACACTGAGTCTCCAGGCCCCAGGGAGTTTGTGTTTCCGAAACATTCTCTCCATTTCCAGCATCTATAACTCTTCTCAGGCTGCTGCTGTGATAGTTAGCTTTCTTGTTGCTGACACAGCATGCCTGACATATCATCTTAAAAAAGGAGGAAGGTTCACTACGCTCACAGCTTCCATCCATCACAGCAGGAAGGTAAAGGCAGTTCATGTCATGGCAGCCAGAGGGAAGGAAGGGAGAGAGGAGAGAGTGACTTCTGAGCCAGCTGGCCCATTCCCCTCTTGTCTCTGGGCCCCAAGCCTAGGAGATAGTGCTGCTCACACTCAGGATGAGGAGCTCTGCTGCAGAGAAGCAGTGCTGGATGGTAGACTACTGGCTCCTCAAGTCATGAAGATTCTGAAAGCCAAGTTCCTCCCATTGCCAAGGGCAAGTTGAGCCTGTGCCCCTTTGTCTTTCCAGTAATTCTGAGTGCCTTCCTCAGCTTTTGCTTCTTGCCCCTGGAGGGGCTGGATCAGCCAGAACTACTTTAGGGTGATGGGAATGATTGATACTAAACCATCACTGTTTCCAGAACAATAAGCTCCGTTTGCTGAGTTCTGAGGCTCCTTGTCTGGGGGGCTGTCATGGTAAATGGCTGAGGGGGGAAGCAGTGGCCTTAGGAGCCTGGGAGATGGCCTCAACAAAGGATAAATTTCTCTTTTCTAGACCTGTGGGTCTGTAAAAGGGAATGCTGTCCAGATCTGCTGTGAATGACGGAAACACAGGTAGAACGGGATTTTGCTACTAGGTTCCTTTGGACAAAGTACTGAAACATATTAAATGGGAGACAGGTTCAAGTGGGTGAGACTCCAAGGATGGCTCTGTGGTCCTTTGATTTTTGTTCTAGACAAAGCAGACACAGGTGTGAGGGCTCTTGGACTTTCTCTACCCAGTGTCCTGGCTTCAAGTTCTGTCCCTGAGGCTGTTGTATCTTACTGCCAAGAGTGTCCTCACCTAGTGCCCAATGTCATTTCTGTCCCTTCTCTTGGTTCTGGCATGACCAATAGGATGTGTTAAGTGACTTCCAAAACCAGATCAAAACCAACTTTGCAGTGTCTGTCTTGATCTTCTGGAAAAGTCTATGGGAATGGGAGCCACCATTCTGGAGAGACCAGCACCGTGGGTGCCAGTGACTAGACCTCTGAGCCAGCTTTCTTACCATCTGTCCTTCATGCTTCAGACCAACCCACAGGCAGACCAGCCAAAAGCCATCGAGTGTCTCCTGCCACAGCCACCTGGACAGAAAGGTCACCCAGCTGAGCAACTTCTGAACACAAAACCATGTGGTCTGATAGAATGATCTTAGGCCACTAAGTTTTGTGACAGTCTGTTACAGAGCAATAGAAAACAGAACTGTATGATGGTGTTTGCCTATGATCCCAGCTGTGCAAGAGGCTCAGCAGGAGGATTGGTTGAGCCACACCTGGGAAACATGACAGGCCTAATATAAAATAAAAGGACACATAGGGGAAGGTAGGGAAAGAGGCAGGGAAAGGGGAGGAAAGGACAAAGAAAGTAGAGAAAACAGGGGAAGGAGAGAAGAAAAATCAACTAGAGCAGAA